CCCTAGGTCGCGGCGCGCGCTCCCTCACCGCCTGCGGTCTCCTCGCCTGGAGCCATCTCGCGTCAGACGGCCGAAAGGCCGCCAGGAAATGGAGCCTCTAACAACTGTGCGAGGAGACCTGCCTAGGCCAAGCCGCCACAAAACAAGACTCCCGCGCTTCAGGAAGGGCCGATCGCGCAGGCGCCGCCCCGCTTCTGGGAGGAAGGCCTTCCCCGGAAGACTACGGCTCCCGCCAGGCAAGGCGGCCTCCCTCGCCCTTCCCGTCATGCCCTTCGAGAAACTACAAGACCCAGAGTGCAATGCGCGGCCAGCTCTCAGTTCTCCGCGCTCGAGGTTGGGAGTTATATTTCCTCATTCTGTATATGATGGTTAAATTAAATCTTGGAGTACTGTGGCTCGGTGTAGTGAGAAAGTCATGTTGTATGACCCTCAACAAGTCAGTTGACCTCTGAAGCTCGGTTCTGTCATTAGCGGAATCTATACTGAAGAAGGCGCTGTGTTCCTCTCCTTTTTCCCTGGCTGGCTGGTGAGCGCGGAGCCTCCCTGCAGCGCTCTCAGTGGGTGGCTCTTTTCTCACACACCTGGTGTGTGACAGGGCCTGGACATGGGATGGGTATCTCACCCACACTGCCATCTCTGGTAGTTACTGCCTCCCCGCGATGCGTCTCTGAAACCACCAGCATGAGTAACTCTTCTTTTTCGAGGTCATCTGTATGATCCCCAGGGCTGAACCTCATTTTGAGGACATACAGAAATTCATTCTTGTCTCCACATCATTGTGCCTGGGGGGGGGGGGTTTGTCCTATCATGTCCGCGTAGATCAACTTTTCAATACCCTGACTGCTCAGCTAATTGACCTCCTCGTGGTACATAACCCCAAACCTCTCCAACATTTACCACACCTTCATCATCTCCATTACAACCTCCTCCTAGTTTTCTGGCTCAGTCCCGCTAAATCTTACTGTAACGGTCCTCGAACCACCAGAATCGCTTATCCTTTTCTTTCTGCAATGTTGCTTGCTGCCTTTATATCGTTATAACCATTAACTTGAACACATCACAGCTCCCTAGTCCCTTTCTCTTAGCCACATTTGTTAGCAAAATCCAGCCCTTATTAAACCCACTTCTCTACCTATTCCACATCTGTACTTTAGCAGATAAAACACAATTATGATGCCTGTTCCCATTCAAAATTAATGACTCAAATGCGACCTTAGGCCTGCCCCTGAACCTACCCTCAGATCAATCCCCATCTCCCCGCCCCACGCCCATCTGTGTGTCACTCACAGTAAACTCATGGATTTAAATGTACTGTGGAGTTCACGCTGTTGTATGTTTTATCCATATTATATTGTTCCATATTCAGCCAATGTGAATCTCTTCAAATTGGCTCAAGAAGTTCAAGCTCATTTTGTAATTTCCTTTCTCAAACTTGGAATCAGCCATTTCTTCAGGAAACTCTGGATTCTTTTACCAGGGCCAGGGGAGTGGTTTGTGACTTCAACCTAAGCACTAAGGATATTCATAGCTAATGA